TGTGTGTGTGTGTGTGTGTGTGTGTGTGTGTGTGTGTGTGTGTGTGAGAAAGATGGTACGATATGGAGGAGTAGCAGACAGGCTGTTCAGTAAAGCCCTGCCCAGCTCCAGTTATACTGCAGTCATTCCTGCTGACCTGTCATACTCCAGTGTGTCAGCAGCCCAGGCAGGCAGAGAGAGAGAGAGAGAGAGAGAGAGAGAGAGAGAGAGAGAGAGAGAGAGAGAGAGAGAGAGAGAGAGAGAGAGAGAGAGAGAGAGAGAGAGAGAGAGAGACTGGCCGTTTCTCAATGTCGAGGAGGTTTGCTTGGTAGCACATGTATGCTGGGCATTTAAACAGTGATTCGGCGCCACTCGATGACGTAGGATGCTTGTAATAGTGGCTCTGGAGCAGCTTTACTCGACATTGAGAAACGGCCAGAGAGAGAGAACACTTGATGGTTGCTAGAAGTGCTACACTTTCATGATGCTAGTATGTAAGCTACTGTCAGGCAAAACCACATCCAGTTTGCAAAAAAAGATTAAGAGCATAGAGGAATTACATACCACCCACAAAAGGAAACACACACACACACACACTTGACGGTGCTGCTTTGGAAACAGCTTATTAGACAGTGGAAAGCTAAGGGATAAAACGCTGTTCTTCTGTATTTATGTTATTGTCACTAAATCCCAGAAAACCGCCAAACAAACAACGTTTAAAGCCCTGATCACACAAGAAAAACACAACATACATGAGGCTTGGTATTAGAGTGACTGCAGAGGTATATGTGGTGAACTAATGAATCTGGTGAGCTAATGACTAACATGCTAACCTGCAGGGAACATGCATACTTCAGTCAGGATTAGCCTCTGTATTTTACCTCTACGGCGGATGCTAAATGACTTCTGCCTTTTTGCTCTCAGGTGCGAACATTATTACATTCAGTAAAGAGTTATTGCAGACAGGACTATCTCTTTTTCTCTTTATTGTCTTCTGAACGTGTGAGCTCAGTCGCTGTCAGGACAATAAGTTCACACAATTGATTTCATAGATGTATTTGTTCCATCAGCTCCTCTCTCATAACAGTCTGTAAACCATGTCGCTGTGGCTGAACAGCTAACAGTCCGTCTCTGACAGAGAAGGTTCAAAGAAGCTGAATGCCGACAGGCGGCTTATAAACTAAGTATAAGTCAGTCCTGTCAAGCAGCTGCATTGGAATTAAATGATTTTACTGTTTGGAATTTCTGGTGTCACTTATAGACTGTATATATTAAACACTTTGACTTACTTACACTTTTTGTGGTAAGACTCTATCATGGATGACAAACATATTTAAAAATCACCAATGCATCAACATGTTATGCCCAAAGCAAGATTTATTTAGCCAAAGTTACTCAAACAAATGTAAATAGAGAATGTATTATTATTATTATACAAATAGATAAATGTTTACTTTGTAGATAAGTAAGTTATTGGTATTTCCATTGTATTTGTTAATAAAATATAGAAACTCACCAGACTGACCAGTGAACAGTATTGCCATCAGGCACACTAACTCTGATGTGTGTGAGTGTGAGTGTGAGTGTGTGTGTATGTGTGTGTGTGGGTTCTAGTGGAGCATCCATTTTCCATCAGGATGATATATGATCCCTCCGATGGGAGTGGAGTCGTCCTATCCCATAATGCACCAGGAGAGGATTGTAAGACCACTAAGGTTGTCTCACACATTCATCATCTATATCCTAACGCAGAGCCTGTTCACATGATTATCCTGTTTGACTTGAGCGCGTGTGTGTGTGTGTGTGTGTGTGTGTGTGTATGTGTGTGTGTGTGTGAGGGAATAAAGCATTCAAACATGTTGGACTAGCATGGTTCTGATCACCATGGCACAGATTGAAGATCACCAAAGCTTCAGCCTGAGAAAAAAGCAGAAGTGTAGAGGAAATACTTTTGAAGTTGAGACGGAATAAGAAGAAAATAGAGCGCAGGTGTTGGGGTTTGTGTGTGTGTGTGTGTGGGGGGGGGGTTGTACATACACTTATTGGCACATGCTTGGCAGTCATGTGAGGAGTCTTAGCACTCATTTGCTTCATTTTTCATAACAAGCTGTTTGAGTACAAGCGGGAGGAAAGGGAAAAGGAGACTATGATCACAGCTGACCACGGTTTAAAGATGCTACCTGCTAGCGTAGCATGATAACCACAGGCTAATGGAGAGCAGGAGATGACTTCATCGTGGCCAGCATAGAGTCACAAAAGGATTGTGTGCCTGTGTCGCTAATGAACATTTTGTATTTTGTGACAGATGGCTGACACCTTCACCATTAAGTTAGCTCTCTTAAGTCAGGTTTTGAAAAGTGAAGGACTACCAGCAACCAATAACAAAACTGTGCTGGTGCTCTAGAAAGGCCATACCTGGCTGGGACACTGAGCTGCTGAAGTATTTAGCTAAACCAGTTGGCTTCAAGCAAACACAGCTTTGACTAAACTTCAGAGACTCCCACTGGGGCTAAAACTGAAGGGTTGGCAGTTCAGGAAGCGACAAGGGACCCCAAAACATGTCCTGCCTTTACTCTTCTCATTCTCTCCTGCTAACACAACCTGACTCTCGTGAGAGGAAGAGAATAGACCAACGAGCATGACTCTTTTCTGAAAGACTAGTGATTTAGGAGACTCATTTTAACTCCATTAAAATAATCCATTGATAGACTTAAAACAAATGACTTGGGTACAAGTGCCACATATCACAGCAATTGTAACCCTAAAGAAGTGGTTTAATGAGGGAATATATTTCACTGTAGCACTTCATTTCTTCTTCTTTTTTACACTTTGAACAAAAGATATATCATGTTAATTAGTGAGCCTCAGAGGTGCTGGTGGGTGGATTTGTTAGGGTCGGACAGAGCTACATTTTTCCAGTTTTTGTGTGAAGCAATTGGCTGTAGCTTCATATTTAAAGTAGAGACATTGTATCGACCCCCTTATCTTAGCAAAGAAAGCCTACTTCCCAAGCTTTTCCTTTAAGCGTCTTACCAACTTCTAATCTCCTCTATTCTATTACAAATACAAGATGTTTAAATGAGCCGAAATCTTGTGTAGAACAGAGACACGGAATGTAGGTTTCCAGCCCACATATGGAAAACATTATAGTCACACATTGTATTGCATCATCCTGACTGTGTACTCCGGCTGCATATGCCCTGTTCTCTGAACGCTAGGGAATGTGTGATATAGGGCTGTGCAATTCAATCGTATTTTAAATCGCAATTACGATTTTGACCTGCCACAATTACGAAAACAACATACCGTAATTTTCGGACTATAAGCCGCGCCTAGCTTGCTGGAGGTTGTGCATCTGCAACATATTTCGATCTAATTTATTTTAGTCTAATTTATTTTTATTTATCATATATATGTTTAGTAGCTTGTGGAAGTGCGCTCCAAAATATTTGTTGATCTTGTTTATTGGTATTTATTATTTTTGATATTATTTATTTAAATGTAGATATAAATCTATCATTTATTTTAGTTGAATTATACGTTCAGGGTAATCAACAGTTAAAAAGATACTGTTCAAATTATTATTTGTTTTAAAGTTAAATAAATTGACGTTTTCAAAGTCAATGAATAATCGTATTTAATAATCGTGACATCAAGTATTGACCAAAAGAATCGTGATTATGATTTTTGCCATAATCGAGCAGCCCTAGTGTGATAGACACAACAAACTAAAATGTTGCGTGTATAGAAGTTATCAATGTGGCCCTGGGCGTAACATTCACAAAAAACCTTGCTTTCTTTCTTTGGCAGGATATTCCTTAAAACCTCTGCGGAAAAATTGAAGATCGACACAGTGTTGCCTCGGGTAAAAGCTTTTGCAACGACAAGGGAATATCTGCTTCCTTAAATCCAACCAAGGTTTTGTGAAATGCATTGAAAATGATATATAATCCATTAAAAATAGGCAGTGTATTATTTGCAGCTGTATACACTATTAGAATGATACCTAAACCTGCAATAATCCTACTGTTATCATGGTTATATATAGGTTTATGCTATAGAGCAGTGGATTCAACTGTAGGTTTTCTGGAGACTTCAGGTTATAGCCTTATTGAATTATAATGTACTACAATAGGAGGTATTACAAATCATTTGGATCCTCTACATATTACAACCTCCATGATGGTGGGATTAATAGCAGGTTTATTGCATTACACTGCATTATTTTAATCTAGGTGTACCTAATAAATGTAGTGTGTATATGTCTGTAATAATAGGCATACTTCGGACACTGGCCTCTTTGATAATGTGTTAATCCAGGGAAAGACATCAAAGAATAAGACTGTTACAATGTGCAGCCATTACCCACGGCTCTGAAGACTATCAACTTAATGAGAAACTAAACAGCTGTCCTGCAGGCTTTGCGGTCTCGGCTCTTTAACTGTGAGCGCTGGGCTAACAGCGGGAACACTGAGGCCCCCCCAAACCAAAGAGGGCATCAAAGGGAGCACAGACAAAGTTGCCCCAGCCAAGGAACAACAAGCCATCAGTCAAATCTATTCAAAGCACAGAAGGAGGATTCCAGCAGGGCTTTGCATGGATGGAAATATGACATTTCCATGATGGACCTGAACTAAACTTGACAGATGACTTAGTGTTAACGGATTCAAGTATGTATGTGATAGATAGGACCCTCCATTCACTACCACACACACAGTTCCTGCGAGAAAATATACACATAAAGCAAGGATGTGGCAACGACAAAAGCTAAGAAGTTTTTCCTCCGCCTCTTTGTTCGCAGCTTCACTGATCTCACCGTTCTTGTGAAAGATCACTGCATTCATGTCTTTTTCACAGTTACTCTGTCATTCATGAACAAATCTGTACTTTGGTTCCATTGAAAAAGAAGGTTGACACGGAAACAGAATGATCTGGGTAAGCAGAGTGATACATTGTTTGTGTGCATGTCTTTACCTTAAACCTCTTGTCTTGCAGGACCTTCTTGATGGCCACCATCTCTCCGGAGTCGCAGAGTTTGGCCTGGTAGACCACGCCGAACGAGCCGTTGCCGATGACCTTCGTGTCCGTGTAGCTCACTTCCTGTGGCCGGTCAGGGCCTTGACCAGGAGTGGCCACGACTGTTGTTACCTTGCTGCCATCTTTATCCCCTAAAGAGACACAGAACATTTGAAACCTGAGTGATAGTGATATAGAGAATTCAGCACCATACATCAAGGATTAGTGTTTAGGGGTATGGGAGAGCAAACATGACAGAACAGGTTTTGAGAAGCATTACTAATATCAAATAGCTTGTTGAGCCAAACCATTAGTCCAAACTCAGTTTTAGTCCAACTAAAAAAGGTATCTTTCAGGAGATGTCTCCAAATGTCTTGTTTTGTTAGTCCAAAACTCATCTTTCTCAATTCTCAATCTGAGAAAAGCAGGAAATCTCAATATTTTAGAGGCTGAAAATATTCATTTTCGTATGAAAAGTGACAAACGATTATTCAATTAATTGGTGATTATTTGTTTGACTTATCGCTGCAGCTAGGGCACAAATGACCACCATTAATTAGCCATACCCTGGTCAAATATATAAGTAGCTACTAGATTTGTATCAGTCACCAGCCCAAAAAAAAGTGGTAATCTGTTGAGCTACTTTCATTAACCATTAACCATTTGGTTGCTGGACAAAAAAAGTGAATTGGGCACCCCGATTGCTGCTCTATTTAGAACAATATAAAAACACTCATCATTTGCTCATCTGTCTCCTAGAGTTAGACAGGATCATCTAAAGACTCAATAGTCTACTTGTTATAGAAGCAAATGTGTTATTGCCTGGTTGCAAGTTTGACTTGTTGACAATTGTCCTGGCTGAGAGAAACAGAACAACAGAGCCCCCTTCTTTAGCCACACCCAGCTTAAACCCCATGTATTCCTGGAAGAACTGTCTAGTGGTAAACAGCTGAGGATGTACTGGTCAGCTCCGTGCTGACTGACTGAGGGGGATTCATGGCTTAGCTCAAATATTTCGAGGTAAACAATCACACATATTTGAACTCTATCTAACCGGCTACAGACAGAAAAACACTTTTTTTGTAATGTCATTATCTTTATATCAGTAATGATAGGTCTTTTTATCCAAATCAATGCATCAAAGAGATAAGAATACAGCTTTCTGAGACTATCCACACTGATAAGATTCATTACCCTGCATAGACACACCGACGGACCAATGCAATTCCCAGGATTATCATCAGTGAAAAGTCATAAGCTAATAACGCTATCAGACGCTAATGCACTATAGATCGGAATCTGCTATTAGTTGGCTCTGAACCCCTGAGAAGACGATGGAGGCTTTTCCCCTCTGTCCTCCCTTCTCCCAACGGAAGTGACAAGGAGCAACATTCATATTAGCTGAAAGCTCAAGAACAACCAGGCAAGAGTGTCTGTCGCATGCCACAGATGTGTGCCTGCAACTTCAACTTCTGACAGTCTATTCAATTAACCGCAAAACTTCTGCACAACCAAACGATTAAATCCGACTGCAACATCTGCCCCCCCCCTTCCCCAAATCTATTAGTCTTATTAACATATTCCCCTTTCAAACAAGCTGCAACAGGAGAAGGCTGTGGATGAGCGAAAACACCCACGCATCTAAAAATCATTTGTGAAATGTGTCTACATTTAGATTCTGGAGTTGCTGAGGCAGTCAAACACATTTGTCAACAGCTCGCAGTGGGTACCAAATCATGTTGACGTGAGGATTAATGCTGCTTAATAACCGTGACTGTTCCACATCATGGTGTTGAAATGGAAACTTTGTGCAGCATGCTGTGGTAGCAGACCACCTCCACGTGGAGGACACTGGCATGCCACAGAGTCCTGTCCATATCAGGAGGAGGTGACCGTCTGATGCTGACGTTTGGCAAACCACCAGTGAGTCTGTGGGTGAGTTTTTAAATGAACAAAGTGATTTGGATGATTAACCCTGAAGTGCTTATTATAACACTAGAAAGTCAACGTTTTGACTGAGACAGTAGCACAGGTTTTACTGGCCTTATCCATTTTTTATTGGCTCGCTAGGCTTATTTTCCATCAGGGTTATTGATTTCGACTGCGTAGACACACATCCTCTCACACAAGCAAAGAAAACTACCACTCCAATGCAGATCATAAAATATGTGTGTCCGAGCACAGTTTCTTTGTCATCGTGTGACCAGTCAGTGGTCCAATTCCTTAAGATGTGATAATGATCAAAGAATTTGGATAGAGAGAAGGAGGGGAGCCAAGTTGTCTGAGAAACCAACAGGCCTCCACTCTCCAGGACAGAGTCTAGAAAGAGTGTGTGAGGGTGTGAGAGAGATAGAGAGAGAGAGAGAAAGAGAGACGAGTATGACTGCCTACATATTCCTTCAGGGCCATTTCTATGACGCCTCTGCACTTCCTCAAACCGTGAGAAATGTCTGTGCACCCCAGCTCACAGTCAGATCTCACACTGGTGCAACAAAAAAAAAGTTGCCGAGCAATTAGTTTGCAGTTCGAAGTTTTGCATTTCAAATGAATAATTGACATTCTTTGTGAAGCAAGACCCTTTACACATTAATAAGGCATAACAATCTGTCTTCACACAGATATCCCCCCATTTTACACACAACCAATGAAGACATGCTTTTATTTGTTTTAGGCTGGGAGCGCCTTTTCATTAACATTCATAATCCCCAATTGAGCTATTTGCTAAATTAAGTGTTATAAATTAAAAGTACAAGTCCCTTGCAACATGTGCTTTCAGCGTTGACTTATTTTCTTTTCAATTAGCTTGCCATGAGAAAATGATCGAATCAAAGCAGAGGATTTCACTCACATACTGTATGCTCTACTATTCAGCTACAAAGACAGCTGCTGAACATTTTAGCCAGGAGTCGATAGTGTATTCAGGTCACAACGTGTAGGCTACTCAATAGGGCCAGAAAACACTGTTTAGCAGTTGCAGGACACATGTTGGGTTTGTTTGATTTAAAGTTACCAGTTTTGTGACTGAAAAATGTAAAAGGGATATGTTTCTACAGAAGCTGTTGCAACGCCCCAACTAGCTATATATATCAAATTCATCTGTCAAATGAATTCCAAAATGATGCATTCAATCTAAGTAAGTAAAGAGGACCAACCATTTATGTTGAACACAATTACTAATTGATAAGCTATAAGTTGGTGCGTTTTCCTGATAGAACTGATATACTACCCAATGCACATCTTTTTTAGACATGTAAAGATTTTACACTCAGTATTTCTCCCACAAATTCAAAAGTTGATGGAAATTACATCTTCCCATCATTTCACAAGCTCAAGGTTTTTTGTATCCCTTATTTGAGCATATACATATTTTGTGACTAAAAGTACAAATGTACATGTTGTGCCCATTTTTTCAAGAACTATGCCCAAACAATCCGACATTATTTAATAGCTGACTAGAGATTGACTCCAAAAAAAAAAGGTATTTTTTATACTGAGAGTTTTTTTTATACTGAGACAGTTTGCAACAATTCAACTCATTTACTCTATCAATCTGAACACAACTTTTAATATACTGCAAGATGAGGGATAACATTCACATATTTCATGTTGAATGAATCCACTACGAGTGAATATCACAAAAAATATGTGTCTGCCAAATGAGTCATTTCACTATGGAATTTGTCCAACTCGTCCAGTTATATTTAAAGCATGTAGTAACTGTTTGGCTTTTGAGTTATAATATCAAACACACTGTTACTTCAAACACTAAGGCTGATTGCAGCACTACTTCAGTTAAGACTGTGTTAGTATGCTAGTCAGCCTAATAGCTCTCAGATCACAAAATGCGCAGAATGTACGTGACATTTGTGAGGAATGTCTGGGGGGAAAAATGCTAAATTTAAACAAAAAACGAAAAAAGGAGCACATTGTGTTGTTCTATGCAGATACTCCTGCAAAGGGTCTCTCCACGTTGACAAGGCTGAGGGGATAGGTCCCCAAATGACTGAAACATCCGGTCCAGTGAGTGTCACCACTCACACAGGGACATTTGGACAAGCAATGTGTGGATTAACACATGATGGATTCAGTGGGATCCGACCAGAAAAGATGGGGCTGCATATATTTGAGATATTGGTGGTATGCAGCCTGCAGTGCCAGTGCAGCAACCGCACTGACAAGACCGACCGGACTCCGATTCTACTGGTTCTTCTTATCTGCAATTCTTTTCTTTACCGTTTGGAATCAAAACGTATAATTAGTTCATTTTGTTCCCATCATCACTTGCAATATGTGTGAGGGACAGAGAGGAAAGGGGGGGCGGAGAGAGAGAAGAGAGTTGCGCAGGGCTTTTGAAATGGCTAAACCAGGCCGCTTCATTTGTCTGGGGCCAGCTGCCTACACCCTCCGCAAACATCCCCTGGTGTGTAGTTGTGTGTGGCTGTGTGTAAGAAAGTTGTTGTGTTGCGCGTGTGTGTGTTGTCGTTGTGGCAGCAGCTGGTCTTGTTTTGCTTGGTCTTGCTTAAGCTGGGTAGGGAGGGAGTACAGAGCGTTCTCGTTTCAGATTATTACTCCACTATGACTACCAGACATGCCTTTAGATATGTGTGTCACGGTGTGTGTGTGATGTGTGTGCGTGTAGATAATTGTGTGTGTGAGAGCTCGTGCAGGTATGGTTGGAGTGTGTGTGTGTGTGATGATGCTCCGTTGCTTATCGTGTGTTGATGTGTACATATGGTTTCGTCCATGATGGAAAGAGCATAATTGAGGGGGCTAATTGAGAAAGAGAGAGAGAGGCAGAGGAAATATAAAATAAGTTCTTATCAAAAGTTAAACGCTGGATGTTTGAAGTTAAATTCAGACTTGCAAAACATGATTACTGATCAATTGGACACAGCCCAAGATGCGTCAAATTATCGATAGTTTCTCTCTTAATTTGTTATAATTCTGATTTTAATACACATCTATTGTGTAGTTAATATTATAGACGCAGACCCATGTTGATATCAACCTCTAACTATGGATACATATATATGGGTCTTTTAGGAGTAATTTGATGAAGTGGAGCAGTTGTTTGACTTTATAATGTATCAACTATTTTATATGTACCAGGATATCAGCCATGTGGGCCGTTCAAGGTCCAAGTAAATATCCAAATGAAACAATGCCAACCCAATGACTGAAGAACCTTTGCGTTTCACGCTGCGAAACTATGATTGGAAGGAGAAGAGTGTTAGATCATGCTTAACAAAATTCTGTTAGACCAAAACTGTTCCCTGATAAGCGTGTTACCTATGCCACTTTCATTCGTAGGGGATGTTGTTAGGAACAATAAATTGAAGATTATGGAGTCGCAACTTTCAATCGTATGAAAGTTAGTTCATACATCCTAAGTCTCAGCTGGTATCCAATTGTGCTTGCCTCATGGTACAGGTGCTCCCCATTAAAAAAAAGCAAGTATGTATTGGCTTTCTACAGTGACATGGTAATAAAGGTCCTTATCATTTGATTGGCACAAAACATGCTAAACCAGAGACATTTACATTCAAGATAGCCTCGAAATGTCGGAAAGGAGAGGCAAACTGTGACGCGATCGGAGAGTGCAAGATCGATGCGAAATGTGATCAGCGCTCTGTATGAATGTTTCAATCGCAATCAAATTCGTTTGTGATTGCTAGGCAAACCAAGA